TAGGTGTCCAGGCCACAAGGCCACAAGGCCATAAGGCAATAGGGCAGCAAGAGACGACAATATCAGGCATACAAGCTATCCCCGATTGGGCATCTCCACCATTCTAATCTCATTCTCGTCTTGGTGGAATTCCACTCACGCTTGCTTCCTTCGTGTGCGGTAGTGGAATTATGCATCACCCGCACTTTATCACATTGCAGTAGCCTGCATCGGTGGCCCATCAACATGCAGAAAAATGCCGGTGGCGGCCTAGGAATGACGAATCTATATTACTCCCGCATGAAGTCTCCCCCCCCATGCGGAAATCCATCCCCGACTGTTTTGCCGGTTGACTTTCTACATCTACGTTCCTCACAAGGAATTGACGCAAGATGCGTTTTTTTCAAGCATAATACGGAATGAACTTATCTATTATGATCAAAGTAAAGGACCACCGCCGAGAAAGCTCGACGTTTGAAGTGAACAGTGGCCTTGGTGAGGCTAGAACCAACAAGTCTCTTCCGGGTGGTTCCGAATACCCCTTGGTCATTTACTCAAGCAATATATCACCAACCTACTTTCTGCAATAATATCATACGAGCTCATGATTGCTCCCATCCTCAACTCGTGATGCTGTCCAAGAGCGGGGTTTGGCTGCCACTTCTGAGACTAGCCAATCCAATGGGCGCAGCACTTGCAAGCGGCAGGCATCGTATTCAATATCAAGGAAGTCATCAGAGGTAAACACGACAGCCTCGGGGAAGATTCTGGTTTCGGTTAAGCATAATCTTGAGTGCCAACAAGTCCACAATTAACCCCTATCGGGCGCCCGGTACCCAAGCGTCTGATCGTAGCTGGCCTAGTTCGATAGCTCCAACTGGGGTGATGTTACGGTCCTCATCAAAGGGCGAGTGGTACCGCGATGTGGCTCACCAGGTTCTAGACAGGCTAGACAGACCACATAGATGGGGTTTAATTAGACTACCACCCCATATTGTCTGATTCGGTATCTTCTTTTGGCGTGGAATAAGCTCCTTCTACGGCTTCGAAGCTTGATGAGCCAAGACGCCGGAATCCAAGCTTAACAGCAAAATGTCTCAGTATAGTGTGCAGATGGACCGGATTTATGATTGATAGGGGCAACGTTACCCCATCTCCCCTGATTCGTGATAGAAATGAGTGGTAATTGATGCCTACGGAGTCCGACATATTCCCACCTTATCGTGACCACTCAGCTGTCCAGACTAGATGACAAAATTATCAGTCAGTCAACCAGGCCGATGCTAAATTTGGATGGCTAAATTTCTGCACTGGAGTCGAAACTCGAGGAGTAATAGCTGCTCGGCCGTCGACTTAATGGGTGGTCACTGGTGTATTGCTATCACCGAAATCCGAGGACGGTTCCACTGTGGACCACTTGGCCGGCGTTCCTGGCGCCTTACCAAGAACGCCTAATTCGTTTTTTTTTTTCCTTATTTCGCGCAGCTTTTCCAGCTGCTCTCATTTGACCAGAAGACCGACTAAAGATAAAGAGAGGCGTGGGGAGTACTGAAGCCATTAATAATTGAAACAAAATCGGTCTCAGTGGAAGTCAAGGAAGTAAAACTCTTCAAAGCTGCTGGAATGGTGATGCAGAATCGCCCCCTCGGTTCCCCTCTTGTTCTTCACCAGTGATGAACAGCCCTAACTGTCAAGCACGTCCAGCCTTCCATCCGCAACATCCTCAAACTACTAGCTACACCCTGATGGTCGCATTCGGTATTTTCCCGTCTATCATTGCCACAAGGACTCTGCCAAGACGGAGGAATTGCTTCTTTACAGAATTTCAATCCTGAGGCCCACCAGCCCGAGTGGATGGACTACTTTAGACTACCGAGACTAAGTGCGCCGGCGCGGGCATCATGAAACGCCGTAAATCCCCCGACTCGTTCCCAAGGTCCACCTATGACCTTCAACAGCCAGACAGTACAGTGGACCATCCAGCTCACTGTCCACGAACAGGGGCCATCACCGCGATGGACAAACCATGTGGCTACTACTCCTCTCACCCCTTCCCATCTTGGTTGTCATCGATGCCTATCACTCCATCCATGGTCCGATATGATGGATCTCCTTCGACTACCTGCTCGGTCAGTACCGACTTTAGCGCCGGTGGAGTGACCGAGAAGAATCAACGGTTTGGCTCGATAGCCCTTGGCTACTAATCAAAGATGCACTTGGCCGTTTCATACTGATCATCCGTCCAATTTACCCAGAATGGGTCTGAGCCAAAGGTGAAGCTCTATCAGATTCTTGTCAGATGCTTCCGTCAACCTGACGAGTCAGTCTTCCCTATAAAAAGCCCCAATCCCATCCAGGTTGACCTCTTCTGTATCAAACCATTCCTTCCTTTCCTTTCCTTTCCTCTGCATACCTCTCTCTTCACTTTAGTCTTTCTTTCCCCTTCTTAGCTGGTTCTAAACACTTCATCATGAAGTACTCTACTATCTTCAGCGCTGCTGCCGCTGTTTTCGCTGGTTCCGCCGCTGCCGTCGGCGTGTCCGGCTCTGCTGAGGGTTTCGCCGAGGGCGTTACCGGTGGTGGCAGTGCCACCCCCGTCTACCCCGATACTATCGATGAGCTGGTCTCCTACCTCGGAGACGATGAGGCCCGCGTCATTGTCCTGACCAAGACCTTCGACTTCACCGACAGCGAAGGTACTACCACTGGCACTGGTTGCGCTCCCTGGGGTACCGCCTCCGCTTGCCAGGTTGCTATTGACCAGGACGACTGGTGCGAGAACTACGAGCCCGATGCTCCCTCTGTCAGCGTTGAATAGTATGTCCTTGCCGGCTGTCATCCGCTTTTGATCTCGTATCTAACCTTGAATAGCTACAACGCTGGTACCCTCGGTATCACCGTCACCTCCAACAAGTCCCTCATCGGTGAGGGCTCCTCTGGTGCCATTAAGGGCAAGGGTCTCCGCATTGTCAGCGGTGCTGAGAACATCATCATCCAGTAGGTTATACTCAGTGTCATTTGGAAATTACTCTAACAAAATCAGGAACATCGCCGTTACCGACATCAACGCCAAGTACGTCTGGGGTGGTGATGCTATTACTCTTGATGACTGCGACCTGGTCTGGATCGACCACGTTACTGTAAGCCTTCACTTCTTCACTTTTACTAAATCAAGAGCGTCAAGTTAACAAATGACAGACCGCCCGCATTGGTCGCCAGCACTACGTCCTCGGAACCAGCGCCGACAACCGCGTCTCTCTCACCAACAACTACATTGACGGTGTCTCCGACTACTCCGCCACCTGCGATGGCTACCACTACTGGGCCATCTACCTTGACGGTGACGCCGACTTGGTCACCATGAAGGGCAACTACATCTACCACACCTCCGGCCGTTCCCCCAAGGTCCAGGACAACACTCTCCTCCACGCTGTAAGTTCTATCTCTGCCGGTCACCTTCGACTCAACTAACCACCAACATAGGTCAACAACTACTGGTACGACATCTCCGGCCACGCCTTCGAGATCGGTGAGGGTGGCTACGTCTTGGCTGAGGGTAACGTTTTCCAGAACGTTGACACTGTTCTTGAGACCTATGAGGGCGAGGCCTTCACCGTCCCCTCCACCACCGCCGGTGAAGTCTGCTCCACCTACCTTGGCCGTGACTGTGTCATCAACGGCTTCGGCTCCTCCGGCACTTTCTCCGAGGACAGCACCTCTTTCCTCTCCGACTTCGAGGGCAAGAACATTGCCTCTGCTTCGGCTTACACCTCTGTTGCCTCTAGCGTTGTTGCCAACGCCGGTCAGGGCAACCTGTAAATGAGTTAACTCATTTACACTAATTAGCAGTGGATGTAATCAGGGGACGCGGTGTTGTTGATAAGTTACCTTTCGTGTATCTACTTCTATAATTACTCATGGGGAGTGTTCACGACCCTAATGTGGTTGATAACCAGCCAGCACAATGAGATTATTCTCTGTCTACTGATCAAGTAGTTTTTTTACCCCCTCTTCACATGTAGCGACGAGTATACAATGAAAAATATCTGATAAGATGGCGGTCGGCAATTAAACTTTCCACCCGTTATCCCAAAATAGGAACAAAGGCCTAATCTGGATAGCCGAGCAGGATATACTTCACCCCCAAACAGTTCTTCATTAGTATATGCATCATCCTGGAATCGAATGTTCTTTGCATCCAAACTGACTCAGGATTTACCCTTTTCAATATGAAAACAAGAAGTAGCAAAGTAACTCAAACATACATCAAGATATCACGATAACAATACCCCGTACAGTATGTGCATTATACAAGCTGCTATAAGGATCATATTTGATCTTATTCTACAATCCTTTAAACTCAGTTGACGAGCAAGAAGGACTTCTCATTAAGCTTGGGGATTGACTTAAATATTCATCTTCATTATGCGCTATCATCTACGACCGAACTCATTTGTGACCTCATCCTTGGCGCACAGGATGACATAGATGAAACTTGTACATTTGTACGCAAAGTCGAGAACGAACTCGAGAATAACAAACCAAGTCAAATCCACTAAATTTTCTGATGTCACTATACCTCAACACTTGGGGGAGTGTGTCAAGACTTGATTTGTAGACGTAAGGGTGTGTATACATCACTAGTCCATGTTTCCCTATAGGGCTGTGTATTACCCCCATCCAGCGGAACCACTACTAGTAGTTACAGATCAAACTCAGCTATTGGCCCAAAGAGGTATAATCGATGAGGTAGACGTGATATATAGAACATAGAAGGAGTCATAAGCCTTATTTGAAGGGAAGTATAAGAGCCCCTCCGTTCCTTCCAAGCTGAAATCTTTTACTCTTTCCCTCCTTCAACTACCTACTCCTTCACTTACTACGCTTGAAGTTCGATCAAAGAACACATTCTAAATTATTATACTTGCTCTTGCTTTTGCTCTTGCAAGCTGCTATCCATCCACTCTTCTCTTTCTCTAACCATACCAACCATCCTCTTTTTACGACCAACAACAGTTGAAATGGACAAGATTGTGTCCTTCTCCAAATGGCTTAAGGTAGTCAAAGCCAAGAGTCAGCCAGCCGCCCCTATGTATGTCTCCAAGTCTAATGGCAACGACAATGAGCCGCCGAAGAAGAGGCAGAAGGTGTCCCATCATTCTCCTTTTGCCGTTGATGGTGTTGTCGAGGAGCCTACTACCAAAGACGATGAACAGAGCATCCGTGTTATTGAAGGTGAAGTCGTCGAGTTTATGGGGATTGATGATTATGAATTTGGTTCTCCGTTGAAGAGAGTGCCTACGCCTCATCCTAAGAAGAATAAGGGTCAGTATGATGATGATGACGAAGATGAAGAGGGGAAGTGATTGAATGATGTAACTTTCCTCCTTTGAGGTATCTCTATGATGTATTGCTCTTGGTTAATTTGCTGTATTGGTATTCGAAGCGATGTTGTTTGTCTTTTGATACCACCTCCTCTAGTATGACAATGTTTGTTAGCGAGACGTTTCTGATGTCTCTTTTGAGTTGGATTTAGTATCTCAACTAGGTTGCTTGTGTTGGCCTTGAATAAATTACTGTGATTTCCACTTCCATCTTTCTTGTGTGTAGTAACTGGTAGGGAAAGTAGATGGTGGATGCCGTGAAGCTGAAGTTCCTTCCCGTTTAGTTTAGCCATCCCACCGACTCATATCTTGCACAATGGGTAGCCTTCTCATCTACATGTTCATCGGTATGTGAATATCCTTCAGTACATGCATTCAATCGTTTCCTAATGTCACACCACACTCTGCTATACATCATTTCACAAATAGCGAGCTGACGCCTCCTAAAGCAGAAGCCCCGACCATAACTCGCCACAGCATATGGAACCCACCTACAAGCATCTCCTTCTGATCCCTGCCCTGCTGCGATAAAGAGGCCTCGCCTGCATGGAATTCCACGTGACTTCTCTCTGCGCCCTCTTCCCTCACTATTCGATGCAAAACGATCGCCCCGCCAACTGGAACAGCGATACACATCCCCCACGTCCGCAGAAGAGAGTACATGAGGATGGTTGATGCTGGATAGTGCTCACTATCTCTGCTCGGCTGGTGTATATGGTGCACGCCCCGGTGGTACCCAGAAATAAGGAGGGAGTGGCCTATTCCTGCACCAAGCAAGATGAAAACCCATATTTGAGGTGGAGTGCTGTCGTCTAGGATAATGAAGAAGCCTGTCGCAAGGACGCTGCACAACCATCCGATCCGGACCATCCAGGGGAAGGTACTCGGGCCTCGCAAAAGTCTCACCTTTTCTGTCAGAATGAGCGCTACTAATGTCGGGCTGAGGACCGTGAGGAGGCTGAGCCCTTCGAATACAGACGATAAGTCTTGGACTAGTCTTAGATAAAAGGCACAGTTCAGGAGATGGCAGGATAACTATCGCAAGTCAGTGATTTCGTCCGTTTCCACAAGCCGATGACTTACCAAGAATCCGTGCAGCAAGCTACCTAGGTACAACATGGTCCTTGCGATGCTGCTGAAGATTGTCGACGAGAAAAGCGGGTGGACGGACCACAGACTCTCGTACAGGATTAGGACGATGATCGAGGCTGCTCCTGCACCAAGGACTACCAGTACGTGCCAATTAGTCCAGTCGTATAATATCCCGCCCCAATTGATGCCTATGAGAAGGCAGCCCATTCCCATAAAAGTCAACACGGCACCCTGCCAGTCAAGCTCGCACGCTTTGCACTTTGCGATACGCTTGTACGTCCGCAACTCAACTGCGAACGGAATGACCAAAAGTCCGAGTGCGCAGAAGACGAGACTGGCATAAAAGGTCCAGACGGCGTGATCGACAAGCAACCCACCGAAGATGAGGCCAACAATGGCCCCGACCACTCGAGTCTGAAAGGCATACCCAGTAAATCGGGCCTGGTGAGGATATGGGATGACTTCATCTATCATCAGAAGCGAGGTCGCAATTACTCCCCCACAGCCTACGCCTTGGACAAACCGCCCTGGAACCAGACAAGCTAAGCTCATCGAACCACTACAGACCCCCGTTCCCACTGTGGCCAGCACAGCAGCTCCAAGGGCAATAGGCCCTACCCCAAAAATTGCTGCGAGCATGACAGAGAATGGCTGGCTTGCCGCACTAGCCAGAAGGTATGATGCCTCAATCCATAGTGTGTTTCCGAGTGGCTGTTCAGATGTGGCTGATAGATTCTGCTCTATCCATATCAGGTGATCAGACATTTAGATGGGGACGGACATATGAACACACATACTGTCATCAGGGGAAGCACTACGGTCGCATTGAAGGCATCCATTGTCATCAATAAAGAGACGCAGGTCAGGACCAGCCATTCTTTAACACCGAGTTTCCATTCCGCAGCCAGATTCGCCGCGGCATTGTGGCGCAGATGCTCTGCGCTGGCAACCTCGACCAGGTTCTGAGAACTAGCACAATTGCAAAGTTGCGGCTCCAGGCCATCCTTCGCATGGCTGAATTCAATATACTCAACTCCCATAAGGAATGGTACCGCAGGTCTCTCGCGGGCACGCTGGACAGTTTCCACGACACGTGGAGGAATACGCTGGTCAAATAGGACTTCACACTAGGCTATCATCGTTCTGGAAGGGGTCTGCTACAGCACTCGAAAAGGACAGATGGTGAGAGTACGAAATGCAAGGGGCATGGCACAGACCGCGTGGTAGAGGCACATGTTCCTGGGGAGATACAGGCACCTAAGCTGAACATGGGGATGAGGGCTGGTTACTGGGCAGCTGTGACGATTGGCTCAGCACAACTATGATACACGAGCTGCCTGATTGGTGGTTCTCACATTCCTCCGTCCTGGAAACTCAAGGTCCAACTCTGGCTACTGGGGCAAAGGGGCTGCCGCGCAATGACTGGTATGTGAGCTCTGACCTCGGTGACTTAATCCCGGAGCAGTGATCTAAAGCGTTGTAGAAGAGTTGCTCCATGCCATCCCGGAGGACACCATTCACGTGAATGCATGTAACCAATCTCTCTATAGACGAGCAGGAAGCACATAGCCTCCGATATCTGCAATAAACTTCATTGCTTTCGCCATGAAATCCGCAACGTCTTGACCTAGCCATGATGGGAGCAATTCCATCCTTGTCGACTCCATCTCTCTGAGAAATCTTCCAGCAACCTAGCACATAATTCCCTTAGTGCGACTGTATATCACAATCACTTGTGCGATTCAGTGTACTCACCAGCATACAAGAGCCCCTTCGGTCCGTATCCATCCCGACCTGCTCAATAACCTCCGCCACCCGCTCAGGAGAGTTCGCTTCGAGCCCAGCATCCTGCCAGCTCTGAGACAAACCAGCCGTCATTCTAGTCGGGGTCATAAACGGTGCAACGGCATTAACCCGAATGCCATACTTTTGCGCTGTCACTTGCGATGCCCGAAGCAACCCCACAACACCATGCTTGGAAGCCACATAAGCCGTGACACCCGTTCCTCCAAAATAACCCGACGTAGAAGCCACCAGCACAATTGACCCGTTCTTATTCTCTTTCATGTGATACATTGCCAGTCGCAGTGCTTCACACCATCATCAACACCATTAGCACAACACACCCCAGAAAACTCAAGAAAACAAGATAGGTAAACATACTACTCAAAGTCCCCAACAAATTAACACCCACCACCCTCCTCGCCTCCAAACCCTCCCTCAACTCCCCCGTCTCCTCATCAACATCCTCCAAATCCAACACAGACGTAGACTCCATCATCCCCGCATTCGCAACCACCACATCCACCCCACCATATTCCCGCGCAATCGTCCTAAACAGCCGTGTCATTTGTCCCCAGTCCAGAATATCAGCGGGAAGAAAGACTGCCTTTTCCGGATGCGGGAATGTACCCTGGATCAGGGATTCAGTGGTCTCTTGGTGAGTGAGCAGATCAGTGAGGATGATGGTGCTGGTCGGGTGGAGGGCGTTGAAGTGCCGCGATGTGGCCAGGCCGATGCCTCCGGCGGCGCCGGTTATGAGGATTGTTGTGTTGGTTGTGGTCATTGTATCATACTAGTTGGGGTTGGGGTTGTGGTTGTGGGTGAGTATGTGGATTGGTTATATAATATAGTAAGTTAAGTACTGAATGGTGTGATGGGGAAGAGAGGGGGTGATGGGATGATGAGGAGATGCGGGGTTGTCGGTTATTAGTACTGTAGGTAGTAAGTAAGGAGTTCTTATGGTTGTCAATATGATGGGGGAAAGGAACTCTGCTTGGATTTATGAATCTGGTTTCTGATTAAGTAGAATTATTGATTGTTTTGCTGGTGCTCAGGTCCCTGGTCTGCGCTACTTTGTATACACTATCAATTAGGACTAATGCCATCGCATACTCCCCACAACATGGCAACAACATCAAAATATCTATCGGGTATATACATCACTCAATCAATCAATCAATCACTCATGCCTCATTAATCAATCAATCAATTAATTAATCCAACTTATCGCGTGACGGCGGTCTCGAAAGCCGCGACACCTCCGCCGACGACTTGACACTATGCGCCGTACTTATAGCATGGAACGAGAAGTCCAGCTCGCCTACTAGGGCTTTGACGTCCCTATACCAAATAAATCACACTCATTAGCAAATTTCATCCCAGCTTCATGAATGAAGTGGAAGGAAGGAAAAAACCACTCACCTCATCAATCTCTCCACATCACCCACAATGCAACGTGTCGAGATCTGCAGTACGGAAAACGTAGCGAACCCTGGCTCTGCGATGTGTCGCAGACTGAGAATATCCTTGTCAAGCGCCTCCAGACGCTTGGAGAAACTGTATGGACGGGGTGTTTTCAGATACGGAGGTAGCGGTTGACGGTTTGTTATGCTTGCGGAGAGGAGACAGAGCACGGTGGTGATTTCGTGGGTTGTGACGCGGGCGCTGGCGACTAGTCTTTTGAAGTCGTGGACCCAGGCGGAGTCGGATTCGTCATCGCCGTCGAGTTGGAGGAGGGTGTCGGAGGCGTAGCCTAGGAGACTGAGGTAGCTTACGATGCTGGTGGTAGTTAGAATTGTGAGTGTCATTATGGGTAGTAGAGGGTGGGGGATACGCACTTTTCGATGCAGGTTATGATACTGTTGTAACGCTTTTTTGGAAAGCGACCGCCGATGGCGACTTCCCAGTTCAGGAAGCCGGCATACGTTCGGAGGTTGTTCAACATTAACATTTGCTTTGAGAACACCTTGTTACGCGCCTTCAGAAGCCGGCGGCCTGATGATGTCTTCAGTGCTAGATCACCCTCGTCGCCGCGCATGCGCGCATTTACGGTCTCGTGGATAACGGAGTAGTAGTTGGCTAGGAGGTACAAAGAGGCTCCTAGACTTTGGCGTAGAACGGAGTGTTCCGAGATCGGATAAGGGAAGAATGTCCATATGAAGGCCACGGCTATACCAGCGCTCACAGTGGCCAGTCGATACGGGCCCAGGAGGTAAATTGGATAGTACTGCTGGCCATTGGAACTGGCCACCTCTTCTCCAATCTTGCGCACCTCGAGCTCGTAGCCCACGATCATCGATGTAGAGATGATGGTGATGATTCCAATGATTCGGAAGCGGAAAATCTTGATCGGCACGTAGAAAACGCACGTCAAGAATATGAACAGGAATACGATGATGCCAGGGGTCTTCTGCCCCGGGATATACCATGCCAATAGACTGAGCACCATGGCCAGGACCGTACCGAGGAGACGAAGAACGAAGCCGAATATGCTTTGGCCGGATGTGGGTGACATGCTGAGGTTGACCATGATCATGGCCCAAACAAATCGCTGCTTGACAAAGAAGTCCTGAGTGTCGTGAAGGAAAGCAACCACAGCAACGGTCATCGTAGCGCACGCAACTCGGAATCCATAAGCCGACTCAGGAGAGCGTAATGCTGTAGGTATGAGGCGAATCTTGTCACCGATTTTCTCCAACGTATTCTCCGGCGGCAGGTGTTCCGGATCCTTTCGGTGCTTATAAGCCTCGCCCAGTTGAAGGATGTTGTTCTGTGAGTTGATGTCACCACCCAAGTTGTCATCCTCATGTGAGTCCTCCGCCTTGAAAGCGCTGATGAACCATTTCAGCAAACGCTTTGAGCCAGGGATTACGAGGCGCTTCCGTGCGAGCTTCCCACTTGCAACCTTCTCGTCTGCAAACTGGATAAAATCATGGACAACGTGGCCAGTTGATTCGAGCAGCTGCTCCACCTGTGATATAGTCAGCATCAGTAGACATAAAAGTATAAGAGCAAGCTTACATAGAGAATTAAGTACAGCTGCCGTCGGCTCCTGTCTCGGCCGACTCCAAACTTGTCATCAGGAATATCGTCCACATCCAAATGTACAGATGACGGGTGCTCGAAAAAGTCAGGTGGCAATATTATCCCCTTCTCTTCGCTCCAAGTTCGCAGGGCAACCCGCTTGGCGTACTTGAAGTTGCGAAGCTTTTTCTCGTAATATTCGCCAAAGCCTTTCTCGCCTGGTTTCGGACTAGCCGTTGCCTCTACATCTTCCGGCTCTTTGCCCGCTTTCGATGGTTTTGGCGGCTTCGTTAGCTCAAGCTGAAGAGACACATGATGCAGACCCTCGTCAATTGTGTGAATCATTGAGCTGAAAGGATCATGGACTGCTCTCATGATCTCGTTCCACTCCAGTCTAACCCTCTGGCGTACCTGATCGGGAATTTCTGCCCCAGTCGCGTCGATGGGCTGGTTCCATTTGTTGTAGTCAGACAAGCGCTGGAATATGTCCACAACAAAACTTAACCCGACTACGGGTATCATGGTCTGGCGCAGGTGTCGGAAGATGGCTTGGAGATCATCTGGCCCAAGCTTCCCAATTGCAACTTCGCGCTTTGCGAATGTCAAATCGCCATGAATTTTTGCATGAAGGTCTGTGACTTTCTGACAGGCTGTACGGATAGCCTGCGCCTCGGGGCTATACACCTTACCCTTATCGGTGACCTTCTCTACGGTCGAATCGTACGTCTCTGCCCTCCCGAACATGTCGTCCTTTTCCAACGTCTCAAAGTACGCCGTGTGTGCATTGAGGGCAGCACGCAGGCCGCCGATGTAGCCGGCCATCTGCTTGAAGACGATGCCTCGGGTACTTTTTGGAAGTATGAACAACGAGACACCCGTTGCCACTCCCAACCCGGTTAGGCATGCTTCGAGCAATTTCTTGACGAGCGCAATCGCAGCAGCCATGGTCCCAAGCCTAGAAGCATAAACAAAAGCAACATTGGCAACAATCGAATAGATAATCACGGGAAACTGGAACTGCTGAAATTTGGCTCGAAAGGTGTGAACCAGGTAGATCTCAAAGAACAACCAAACGCCACTGACGGCTGCTGCAGACGAGTTGTATGCTGTGCTTCCGTCGGCAGCGGCAGTGGCAGACTCAGAATGCTCCCGTGCCTTGACACACGAGTACATCATTAGTAGAGCAACAGCTGATGCAACACAGACAGCTAATATGTCGAGGACCATCATTTGAATGAACTTGGCCCGAGGCATGATTGAGAATCCCAAGACGGAAATGATGGCCACTAGATATCCGACAGTATTGAAAAGCGATGCCACAGCATCCGCTTGATATCTTCATGTTTGTTAGTCTGGCATAAGTAGCAGAGGATTGTGGGTGAACTTACATAGCTACACAAATTGTTGGTGCAAGGGCACCCCTGCGAAACCAATCAATACAAGCTCGGCAGTTGAGAGACACAGAACATACTTCATCATAAGAAGCAGAGTCGGCATATCCAGCTCCAAGCTCTTCCAACCCCGTTTCAGCTTGCTGAAGAGCTTCCATTCGCGGTTCCGTCGTCCATCATCTTCGCCGGGTAAGACCCGCGAGGAGGACTGGTCCGAGTCGACCTGAGCTGCCATCGTGAAGTGTATTTTATGTACACCTACCGACGACAAAGCTCTTTTCGCTCGATCTCACCCCTGAATGCCAGATAGGATTGATCCAAAAATCCGGGGCACGAGCCGGCCCCTCATCCACGGCCTCACTTCCCCAGACCACGTGATGCGATCGGCGACGCCAGATGCAACTCGGCTAAACTCTCGCAGACCTGTGCGGATTGAACGCTTATTGGACTGGGCGAGGAAGAAGAAAGCAGGTAGTTGCGTAAGCTGGAGTATCTCCGGCAAGGATTTGTGTGGCCGCGGGGGATTTTCGCTTCGCTTCTTGCTTCGGAAAAGGAAGAAAAGAGTCCAGAGAGGGAGAAGTTTAAACTTCGCAACAGTCGAAGTAGTGGCGATCGACCGCCGACTTTCCCAAGTGGATCCTTGGGCCGTCTGCCAAGAGCACAACCAGTTTTTACACCGAGTCGGTGATTTGTTGCCTCTGTTTACCGATAAGCTAGTCTAGGTTGTGCTCGTGTTGAATGGGTCGCTTTACCAGCAGATGTAGTAGTGAAGATAAGACCAGCTTCAGACTTGCAGAGTGAGATACCAAGACTCGGATCTCGGTAACTTGACGGGCTCCAGACTGAACGGAGATGCCGCGTGGTGCCTGGAATTGGCTGGAATGGTTGGAACTGCCCGGATGCTTGGTGGATGGACCCACTGCCATGCAGGAATCGACATCATCGTACTGGATGTTATTCTACCTGTTGATAATTAGATCAACGATCATGTCTGGTTTGCATAGACAGATAAATTGGGGGAAAGAACTGGCATACTCAATTGGATTATGGCGCAGAAGATGAGAGAGGGGATGCTTGCTTTTCTTTAGCGATGAAGACCAGGAGATTTGTGAGGAGTAGAATTCGTGGCAGTCAAGGCAAGTGACCTGAATGTCAGCTCCTGCTCCAATTCAGACTCGATAATAGATTGCAATGAAAATCATTATCGACAGTCGCTCTTTTATGTTAGCCTTCCAATAGTCGAGCGGTCGCTCATCACGACTGTCTGTCTCCACAATCTTGAATAGCATTGTGGGTACGAATCCCTTCGAGGGATTTGTTTTTTGAACCCCTTCTTTTTCCTCCTTTCTGCCAGTTACGTTCCCCCTTC